TCTGAGAAAAAACTTGATGCACTGAAAACTGCTGTTTAAAAGCAGCAGAATACATTTCTGAGTGTTTCTTCTCTTCCACAAAAGATAAGTCACCTCAGGTCACCAAGCTCATGACCCCTGCCTCTTGTTTTGCTTCCATCAGCTTTCATGCTGTTTTCCCCCAGAAATGGAGCTGAGGATTTTTTTCAGCTGAATTCCCATCTCTGAAATTAGTGACACGTTGCACCTCTTGTTACTTCCCAGAAGCCTCAGCTTTGATATTTGTAATCAGTGTTAATCAGTCACTTAGTTTAATTTCCTTGTTCCCATTGCTGATGTGTTGTCTTCCATCAACCTTGTCGTTGTGCAGTAAACAACCTGTTGAGGCTGAGCCAATCTAGGAATACAAGCACATCTATTTGCAGTAAATCAGTGTTATTTACTACTTCATTCACCTTTGTTTCTGCAGAGGCGGCAGTGACGTGTTCAGGGAGTCACATAGAAGAGTTTTTCTCACCAATGCTTTCCTGTTATTTTCCAGGGTCCTTTGTTTGGTGGCGGGACGTCAGCCTGTCGGTTCTCAGGGGAGTGAGAGGAACACTTGAGCCTGAGTGCTCTCATACCTGTTCGTATCCCCAAATGAGTGTGTGTGTGTGTGTGTGTGTGTGTGTGTGTGTGTGTGTGTGTGTGTGTGTGTGTGTGTGTGTGTGTGTGTGTGTGTGTGTGTGTGTGTGCGTGCGTACGTGAATGTGTGCGTGCGTGTGTGTGTGTGTGTGTGTGTGTGTGTGTGTGTGTGTGTGTGTGTGTGTGTGTGTGTGTGTGTGTGTGTGTGTCACCTTGCTCTTGGATTAGGTAGCTGCATCCCTGAAAAGTAATTTTGTGTTTGGAATGCTTCTGATGAGGTAAACCTCAGAATTTTTTTGCGTTTTGTGGTCAGATATGATTTTTTTAGCTACACATTAAGTGAAGTGGCATATCCAGTTCATAAAAACATGAACAAATTTGTCTAAAGATGTAATCAAATTGATGTTGGCACAAATTGACATAAACGTCTACAAATTTTTCATGTGAATTTATATATATGTGTGTGTGTGTGTGTGTGTGTGTGTGTGTGTGTGTGTGTGTGTGTGTGTGTGTGTGTGTGTGTGTGTGTGTGTGTGTGGATAATAGGGTCCTACAAGCCTGCAAGGCGCTTCACAACACAATCAGTCATCCTGACACTGGTGATGACGATCTACAATGTGGACACAGCTGCCCTTGGGCGCACTGACGGAAACGAGACTGTCGAACACAGGAGCCACCGGCCCCTCTGACCACCACCAGCATGCAAAGCGGGTTCATTCAATTCAGTTTATTTATATAACGCTAAATCACAACAAGAGTCGTCTCAAGGCACTTCATAAAGTAAACATTCTGTTTACAGTGTGGTTCAGTTTGTTTAACCAATCAGTAAAAAGTTTCATATGGAACCCAGCAAATTGCGTTCTGACAAGTGCCAGTGACTTTACAGCAATCCTCATGCTAAGCAAACATGCAGCGACAGTGGAGAGGAAAACTCCATTTTAACAGGAAGAAACCTCCACACACACACACACACACACACACACACACACACACACACACACACCTGCACACACAACATACTGTATATACCTAGTAGTATTTCTATGGCTACATTGTGTTTTCTTAGTAAATATTCTATTTAGTAAGAGATAAACTTTATTATCTTTATGTTTGTGACTTTATAATTAATTCAACAGGTTAACTAGTAGTAGCACACTCCATGTCAGAAGGTAAAATGTTATTATCAGGAGAGGGAGAATGTTTAAGTGGCTAGCAACAGTGTTCAAGCCGATGGCCCCCTCCATGAGGGGGCTGCTTTGGACAAAAGTGTCTGCTAAATACATAAACATAAACATAATCTTGAGGGCACCAGCTCAGCAGAACATCATTGTAGCTTCTTCTAGGGAGAAAAACACTTAGAGGAAAAATAAAGTTAACAGCTGAAAAAGCAGGAAATATTGCAATCAAGAGAGAAATTGTAGAAGAAAGTAGTCGAGTGTGGACCCCACCTCCCTCTACTCCCCCACTTGTCCAGATCTAGGCTAACATCAGATTTTAACCATAGGCTCTATCAAATAAAAATGTTTAAAGCCTATTCTTAAAAGTAGACAAGGTGTCTGCCTCATGGACTAAAGCTGGGAGCTGGTTCCACAGGAGAGGAGCCTGATAGCTAAAAGATCTGCCTCCCATCCTATTTTTAGATATTCTGGGAACCACCAGTAAACCTGCAGTCTGAGAGCGAAGTGCTCGGTTAGGAACGTATGGAACAATCAGATCACTGATGTATGATGGAGGTTGATTATTAAGATCTTTATATGTGAGAAGAAGGATCTTAAAATCTATTCTGAATTTAACAGGTAGCCAACGTAGGGAAGCTAAGACAGGAGAGATATGATCGCTCTTTTTAATTCTCATCAGAACTCTAGCTACTGAAGACTTTTAACTACATTCTGTGAACTTCCTGATAATAATGAATTACAGTAATCCAGTCTTGTAATAAATGCATGAACTAGTTTTTCAGCATCACTCCTGGAAAGATTGCTTCTAATCTTAGCAATATTCCGAAGGTAGAAAAAGGAAATTCTACAAACCTGATTAACCTGGGATTTGAAGGGCATGTCCTGGTTGAAGAGAACACCAAGGTTCCTTACTTTGTCCTCAGAGACTAATTTAATGTCATTCAGGTCAGGTGATTGACTAAGCAGTTTCCTTTTCTGAAGTTCGGGTCCAAAGATGAGAACTTCAGTCTTGTCTTGATTTAAAAGCAGAACGTTTAGCCATCCATTTTGTTATGTGTTAAAGACAAGCCTGTAATCTAACTAACCGATTAGGTTCATCAGGGTTAATGGATAAATATAACTGAGTATCGTCAGCATAACAGTGGAAGTTTCTCCCATGCTGTCTAATGATTTTACCAATTGGAAGCATATATATTGTAAAAGGAACTGATCCAAGCAATGAACTCCGTGGTACTCTACAAGTAACCATGGAGTATGAAGAAGATTTGTCATGTACATTTACAAAATGATATCTATCAGACAGGTAGGATTGCAGCCTAGCGCTGTTCCTTTGATCCCTACAACATGTTCAAGTCTTTCTACAAGAACATTGTGATCAACTGTGTCAAAAGCAGCACTGAGATCTAACAAGACTAGAACACAAGATTCTTATCTGAGGCCATGAGAATATATAGCTTTCCCTAATGCGGTTTCAGTGCTGTGATACTCTCTAAAACCAGACTGAAATAACTCAAACAGATCTTTGAAGCTTATTTTTATAAAGCATTTATCTGGTTAAACTACTTATGTGTCTTGCCCAAGGACACAACAGCATCATTCTCTGGCGAAATCTGGGATTAAACCTACAACCTTCCAGTTACTGGACATCATGCTCTACCTTCTGAGCTGTATAAGGAATGTGCTCTGCTTCACGTTTGATGAATCAGATTTATTGGTTGATAAAGCTGTCTTTTTTTTGTAAAAAAATAAAATAAAATATTTAAAAAAAACTCAAATTAAGCCCAATGAAAGGAAAGATCATACATCCCCACATAGAGTAACTGAGTTGTCATTTAGTAAAAATCCTGTTCCACATTGTTAATATTTAAAGGCTTGAGTTTTGGATTTAGGGGTAAATTTATGAATATTTACATCTTTGTTTTTTAAATGTTCTATGCAGCACATTTGTATAGAGAATAACTTTAATAAAAACACCTGTTTGATCTAGTCTTTTTCGGGAATCGTACAATTCAATAATATGAGAAATACAAATATCAAATTTGATTTTTTTTCTAAAGGTCACTTCAGTTAAATAAATAAATAACTGACATACCAATGCAATAGGAAATGTATGTAAAACCAACCAGAAAACAAACAAACAAGCAGATTATTTGGGTTTTTGTTGTTCTGGTGTTTCTCTCTGTTTAAATGTCTGGATGATGCTGTAAGTCTGTTACCATTTCTATAGATTGTTAGATTTTATATTAAAGTTGACCCTAAAGAATTCCAGTTGGAATAATAGCTTCCTAGGAATAAACATTTGTCACCTAAAATCGAGGTAAGAGCCTCTGCATTCCCAGGGCTCTTACACATTCAAAATTTTTGCAACGTCATTTGAAAAAATAACAAGAAAGAGTGGCTTTAAATTCCCATCCAGGACAGACACAACAACAACAGGAAGAAGGGCCGTTTTCACAGGTGTCAGGAAGCACAGGAAATAAACAAGCTGAATTCTGGAAAACAGTTTTGTTCCAGAAAGGGTCAGAGGTGAGGTTAATAGGAGAGATTTATAGAGCCGGGAAAAGTTTCTTATAAAATTTTGAAGAAATGTTTGATAAAGCTTTAAATGCTCAAAGTTTCAAACAGTTTTACTGATTTATTACAGAGTTTGAGAGGAAGATCATCTGATCAGATGTAATTTTTCTTACGACTATGCTTATGTTTTCAATAAAATCCTTAATATTGTAATATGTTTTAAATTAGCTAAAAACTTCTGAAAATGCTTGCTGCAGGGGAACAATGACAATTTTTCCCTTTCATGGCTTTTAAAATTATTTTAAAATATATGTTTTTCAATTCTTAGCATTTATTTCTATTTAAATTTAGATAAGACAACTCCTCCTCCAACGTTTTTGATATTTTGGCACTGCACAACCGCTTTCAGCAGCATATGAGTAAAAACGAGGGTTTTTCTGCAACAATGATGTCTGACCCCAGGAGGAGAAAAATTTAAAAAAAAGATTATTTTGACCTGAACATTTGTTTTGATTCTTAATCATATGAGTTACCTGGCTTTTGAATAATTTTTTTGCTCAAATAGATAATTGACTTAAATATTTTTCTATTTTAAGTAGTTGGAGATGATTATAAATCTAATAGATTTAGGTCATAATCCTATCTTCTATGGCAATATGTTTCATGGTTAAAAAATGAAAATAAATAAATAAACAGACAATCAAGTAATATAAGTCAGTAATGACATTGATTTTATTTTAAGATCATATTCCAAGAGATGATATTGGAAAGAAAGCATGTTTAGGAACTAATGCTGAAAATAAATAGTGAACTTTGAACTTGAATGCAGATGTTTTTTACTCTTTGTCTCCTGATGAAGGCACACCAGAAGTCTTTAAACAGATTTGGTTCAAAAATTTGGGAAAACATAGAAAGAGAAGGAGAAATGCACATTCAAGATACATATTCATGTAAAAGATATATTTAAAACAAGATAAATAAAACTTTCACAAACGTTTGTTTTTTTCATCCTTTAACATAAAACATTCAGTTTCATTTATAACTTAATGCTACATTGGTACTGAAGAATCCTTCTTGTCAGCGAGGGTTGAGCCTCTTTGGAGTAGTGGATCTGTCTGGGTTCTGTGCAGAGCTCACCTCTCCTGAGCCCACCTCAGAGCCTGCTGGGAATAAAAAAAGCACGTTGGTAAATGAGTTTTCTTCATAACTTTTTGGACTGTTTGATGGTGACGCAACTCACCTGCTTGTTGCCCAGTCTTGAGCTTGCTGGCAATTTTGGCAAAGAACGTGAGAGTGAGACAAGCTCCAGTCTCCCTGTCACAGATGCCCCCTTTGCAGCTGCATGTCTTACGGCACTCCACCCCATATGTTCCATAAGGGCAGTCTGTAAGGAGAGAAAACGAAGGGAATAGCATGATGCAGTTATGACACAATAGGATAGAGAGCATCCCTGTACTTGCATGCAGCACATAAAACACGGTCACCTTTGCAAATGCCATATTCATCCCCGTAATCGTCCTCATCTTTGTAGAACTCGCAGAATAATCCCGGTCCGCACTTGGCCCCGTGCATCCCCGACACTGTGCGATAGCAGTGCTCCCCTCTGCTGGCTGCACACACCTGACAACAGCCGCAGTCATCCAGAACCGTCCGTGCGCAGCGCTGCGTCCCGCCGCAGCGCTCAGCGTTGCATCTGTCCGGGCAGTTCACTGCGTACTTGGCGTTGGCGCCCCACGCTTCAGCATCCTCCATCAGGAGTGAAAACAGCACTGCGAGGAGCAACAGAGACATCCCCGTGGATGAATGGATGGATGGATGGATGGATGGACGTGTGAAGGTGGAGAGAGAAAGGGCTTGTGTTGTCCTCCTGAACCTGTGATCCCCTTTGAAGACTTGGGTTGACTGACCTGCAGCTCATCAGGCTGGATGGTTATCAGCGATGAACAAGTTTGTTTTGCGCATGGAATGCCCCTCGTCAATTTCCTCATTCCGGTGTTGTGGTCCCTTTTTGTTGGCCGGTCCCACATTTAGAAATCCGGTTTGGAAGTGGGATTAACTGTGGATCGCCATCCAGGAATTTAAGTCCGTGTGAGTTGATGCCATTTAAGTTATCTTTGGTTTGTTTTTGTCTGAGTGACGCAACCTCAATGGCTTGAGGTTTGAGACCAACTCATGTTAATCAGCAAAAACTTATTTAAACACATCCTTGACATAGCTGTCAAGTCTCCCGTTTTGGCCGGGAAACTACTGTGGTGTATTGCCCAGATAGCAAATTCTTTTTGGCCCTAGTTTGGCAAGCCAGTCTTGGTACTCTTTTGGATGGAATGATGGGCCAAATATGGCCCATATTAGGCACACCAAAATAGAATTATGGATTGTCAAAAGGTTGCCAGAATCATTTTTGGCACTAGTTTGGCATGCCAGTCTTTTGGGTGGAATGATGGGCCAAATATGGCCCAAATAAGGCACGCCAAAATAGAATTATGGATTGTCAAAAGGTTGCCAGAATTCTTCCAAAATAAATTGTGGAATTCCAAAGCACAACCATAACTATACCAAAAGAACCCCAAAACACCACAAAATGGCCAAAGGATGTCAAAGTGAACCCATAAGTTTGCCAAAAGATCACCCAAAATAAAATGTGGCTTTCCAAAGCATAGTCATAACCATCCCAAAATCCCATAATAAAGCCAAATATGAACCATAACTTATCCATAATTAGCCATACATTTACCAAAAGATTATATTTTATTCTGAACCTTATGCTAAATTTAATTTAACATTTTAATAGACTATAAAATGTCCTTGTACAGAAGATTCAGATTTTGTGCCTCAGTTAAATAGCCTTGTGAAATAGCCTAGGTTACTGTGTGTACGAGGTGCATAAACATAAAACCAAACAAGAGTAAAATTTGAATATTTTATTTATTTATTTTTGTAAAGGTCAGTCCTGGACTGAGTCCTGGGCTGGTTGAGGGGTTGGTTGGGCGGGCATTCTCCTTTTGCGCCCTCCGTCCCTATCCCCAGCCCAATAGAACCATTTTTTAATTGTATTTATAATTTCTGCCTCCGTAGACGCCACACAGACCAGATTCCTTCTCACTGCAGCTGAAAATAAAGGCATACACATGGAGAAAGACTTAAAAAAGGACGACGCAACAGTCCATGCAAAAGAGAACTGTGGTGGGCTAACTGGCTAGTTAAAAATCAGTTTTGCATTAGTTAATGGATGCATCTCGTCATATGGGGTTGAAAGTGACAGCCAAAGTTACAACATTAAATCATCATAGTTACTTAGTACTTACACTGCCACAGTTTACTTTACCAAACACAAACCAGCGGTTCTTTCCTGACACTAAAACCAAACAAGAATTTCACGAGCGAGAGTTGACCCTGAAGAACGCGTCACATTGCGGGCAAAGTGGCAATAGCTGTCTTGAAGCCAGCGATAGCGTGGTGTTATAATTACGAGATATTCACAGGCGCACTGCGTGCCATTTCGCAAATGAGTTGTTAAGACTATAAGTATTTTGACTTTGAAAAGAAATGTGATTGTCATGGGTGGCTAATAATTTTATCCTAAACTATGATTTTATCAGCTGTGTGATAGGACAGTTGTGTTACTGTTGTGATTAAACTTACCAATTACAATGCCTTTTAGGTGGAGCCTCTCAAAGGCCACCTTCCCATTTTGCCCTCGGCGAGGGCATTAGTCATGGCTCATTTGAGGACCCGCCACACCGTGTCCTTAACTGTGGACCCCCCCCCCCCCCGCAAGGCCGAGTGTTGAACCCTAAAATTAGAAAAATTGATCTTCATTAATTTTTTAAACAAAGATTGATTTTCATTGAATTTTCAAACAAATATTATACAAATTTAAAGAAAAGCCTGGATAGCCATTGTGCTCCACTATTTATTTATTTGGCGTTACATGGTTGCCTGATGAAGGGCAGAGACCTGAAACGTGTGTGTGTGGGGGTGGGGGGGGGGGCAAATAATTGGTTGGAGCTCGTTGACTGCACAAGCAGTCCTTTAACTCCTTTGGCATATTTACCACTTTAAGATATTGAACAACACATAAATTGGATGTGCATGCCAAAATGCATTGTCCAAAACTTTGTTGTAAAGAACAGAAAAAAGCTCACCAATTCATGGGCCAATGTTGGACTGATTCCAAGCTCCCTCTCCAGGGCCATCAGGGCCTGAACATCTGCCAAGGGGAAGATGCCGTGGTGCCTGGTCTCCACACTTCCCCCTGTGGTCAGGCCCTGAAGAGCAGTAACAGCAACAAAAAGGTCCTGCACCATTTTGGTGAGGCTGCGCTGCTGCTGAAGGATTATTTCCTGTTTCACTAGGACTTCATGCAGGAGAGCTGAAAAGCATTTCAGACACAAAGAAACAACATAGTTTAAGCATTTTTTGCATTTACAAGTTGTGTGTGTGTGTGTGTGTGTGTGGCATTTTAATTAACCAAAAAGAGCACACGTCACCCCTCTGTTCATTGAGCTCCACTGGCTACCGCTAGCAGCACGCATCAAATTCAAATTGCTATGCTAACACTAGCATACAAAGTCCAAGTTGGTATGGCTCCCATCTACCTGAATCCTCTTGCAAAGGCTTATGTCTCGGCCCGGCCGCTCCGGTCATCACAGGATGGTCGGCTAGCAGTGCCTACACCACGCTCAGGACAATCCAGACTCTTCTCATGCATCGTTCCACAAATGTGGAATGACCTTCCAAGCACTACCAGAACAGGAGCTTCCTTTTCAATTTTCAAGAAACTCCTGAAGACCCTGCTCTTCAGAGAGCATCTTCTTAAGTAGCACCCTCCCTGCACCCATCCCCCCTCTCTACTGTCCACTCCTTGTTCCCTCCTCTCCATGATTGATGTCAAGTTGTTGTTATTAGCCTCAAGGGCAACATGCCGATTATCACTTGTAAGTCGCTTTGGACAAAAGCATCTGCTAAATATATAAACATAAACATAATTCTTTTCCATTCAGACTCTCTCTCTCTGTGTGTGCGTGTGTGTGTGTGTGTGTGTGTGTGTGTGTGTGTGTGTGTGTGTGTGTGTGTGTGTGTGTGTGTGTGTGTTTAGCTTTATAAACCATCTTATATTAGTATGTATGCGTGGATCATGTGTGTTTGTATACTGTAACTGGCATGTGAGGACTGGGTTAGTGTAAACCATAATAACCTTACATGTCGTGTCGTCCCTCTGCTGCCACTGCCCTGGAGAGGAGTTGGGGCAAACTGTAGGCACCTGGAGAGCCGGTTCCTCCCTCATCATCCCACCAGATGAAGAGGGAGTTGGAACTGGAACCCCCTGGGTTCCCTGGTGACCCTGCAGGTCAGTGGCCTGCAGCAATGATGTCCCCAGGGTCATGACATGCTGGAAGAGTGTGCAGAAGAGGGAGAGGAAGAAGAACAACAGTTTAAAAAATGCAATTATTGACCTCAACAGTGACGTAATGGCTCCAGAATTGTTTTTCTCCATGTAACTGCCTCATTAACCTTTGTAAATTTCCTAATGTATCACATTTGAAACACCACACTTACCTAACCAGCTACACTCAAACCCATTTGCTATACATACGTTACTGTGGTATTTGTTGAGATTTCCATTACCTGGTAATTGGTCAGGTCAGGCAGAGGTACAGGTTATTGGGGAGGATGAACTCTCTCCTCACTGGGGGGATGGCTGGGGTTGGGGGAAGCCCTCTTCCAGGGGTCTGGGCTTCATCCTCTGATGAGGCCCCGTCCTGGACATATGCTTGGCCTTTGGAAATGAACACACAAGACAACATTTATTCTGAATTAAACATTTATTTTAAGTTAATGAGTGCAAATTCAACACAGGCCCAAGAGGTGGAGGAATGGAAAGTTCACAAAATTCTTACTTAATTCTTCTTTGAGGCCTTTCAATGGCTTCCGCCTCAGACTGGAGGTCTGTCTGCTCCTCAGCAAGAGGGAGCTTCCTCCTCGCCTCATTAAGTCATCTGTGTTCACAACACAGTACATTTTCATGTTGTGTCACTTTCTTAATTATCTTTATTAAATATCCCGCTCCTGCCCGCTCCCGCTGAATTTCTGACCATTACCGCCTGCAACCGCAACGTGCGTGTTACACTCCCGCACCTGCTGTGTGCATGTCTACTCCCGCCCGCAACCGCAAAACTCTGAGAAATTATTACCTCACAATAAAAGACATGTATTGAGTTTGTGTCCTCTCTGGTCCTGGAGAAAACATGTCATTTTATAGGCATCTTTTATAGTAATTGTCTATAATGGGAACCCAAAATTCTGCCACATTTAAGCCAAAATACTTTTTCGAACATTTTTGTGCCAGAAGGATGCCAAAATGCCCAATTAATGCCAAAATAAAACCAAAATGTTTGCTATCTGGGTGTACTGTAATGTACATGCTGTTATGACGGTGATCACTAGGGGCACTAGTGTCACGTGTTACTGTTGAGGTTGAAGAGTTGAGGCTGGAAGTAAAAGTTCGCTGGACCTAAACAGCTGTGTCTCAGTGTTTAATTACCTAGTAGAAAACCTACAGAAGACCTAAGGAGACCAGGTAACACCACAACTACCGTATTTTACTTTGCTTTCCTGCCGTCCTCCCGAATTATTATTTTCCCGTAAATCTCCCGTATTTTTAAAATTCCTCTGCCTCTTTAAAATTATCTGTAGCCTTTTTTCTGGGGAAAAAAAGGAACTATAATGAAGACATTAGGACTTTATCACCGTGGAACAAAAATAATAGTGCATAATAATCAATGTTGATGTTAATCAATTAGATGTCCCAGACTCTACTATTAATAATACAGCAGTCCCTCTTTTATTGCAGGAGTTACGTTACGTATGTACAGTCTATGGTTACGTTCTAAAAATAACCCGCGGTAGGTGAAATCCATGAAGTAGCCAACTTTATTTTTTACAATTATTATAGATGTTAAGACTGTAAAAAAAAACCTCACTACATGCTTTATACACTTTTCTCAGACGGGCACGCTTCTTAAGGCTCTCTGATAGCTATGGTAACGCGTAAATAGCTCAGCTTCTACACCCACTGAACAGGATACAAGTGTGCCACCTGAACCTCTGGGAAAGAAACTTGATTCATGTCTTGTTTCTCATTTTTGAAATGACAGAAACATGTAATGTTTGACATTTATCTTGAACTGATATCATATTTGTCATTCTGTGTGCTGTAATCTTTGTCCACACTACAGTAATGGACGAGGACAAAGAGTTGGAGAGCGCCATGTTGAACATCTCACCATCTGACCTGCTGAGCACGAGCAGTCACACTGTTAATACAGTCAGTTAATTCTTGAGTCTTTCTTGCAAATGTGTGTCTCATTTCTAGATGTTTGCTTTTTGTGTGTGTAACCAGTTGCTGTAGCTGCAGCAAAAAGAGAAGAGGATGTGTCAAGAATACTTCCACGAGCAAAACCAGGTTTTTAAATGAGAGGTTTCAGGACTGGAGAGCTGATGAATGCCATCCAAAACTGAGCCATGACTTTCTGTGTTCTGCCTTTGCTTTTTGTTATGGCCACGTTCTGGCCAGGTTCCTGTTCCACATGTCTCTTCCTACTGTTACACTAAAAGTCCTCAGGACTATGAATTGATTCCTGCTGAGAAGATGTGATTCCAGACACAGTGAGTATGTTATTTTTATTTTTTTGCATGTCTTGTACACTAAAAACATTGACGTGGGGGTTTGCACTATAAGTTGAATGCATGCTTGTGCACTGGGTGCTGTTACTCCTCCTGCTTTGGTTAAGGTTGTTTCTGACCTTTCCAGTATTATGTGTAAAGCTGTGGTAAGCAGGAAAAGTAACTGTGTGAGTTTGAGTTCATACTAACACCAACACCTGCACACTCTAACTGCTGGAATAACTGATGCTTTTTCTGTTTTAGTCCTGTCTGCAACGCTGTCCAGACCTCCTCCTGATGCATCAGAGCAACTGGAAACCTCAGCAGTTGATGGTGAGAAGATTCAAGCTCTGTTTTCTCAACTGTTTTATTTTAATCAAGGCTACATGAAGACTTTTTTCTTGTTCTGGGACCAGTCCCAACCAGTAAACAAGGGAAGACACCTGCGGCCCTGCCACCAGAGCTGGCCTTCCTGGCAAAGGAAACATCAAGCTTCACAAAGAGCCTGGAGTCATGTAACGGTAGATCTCCACTAATATTGAACTAAACATCTGTTTATTGCTTATAATTACACAACTACGTCAAATGATTTGATCTGATCCATTATTGCTGAAACTAACAGAAAGATGGCTCCGTTTTTCAGATTCAAACACAAGATCTGCTGGCTCCTCTGCACAGAGAGTGCTGGATTTTGAAGACAGAGGTGAAAAGGGTGAGAGTGGAAATCATCTAGACAGCTTCTTTTTTGACTTGTTTACTTAACTTTAGCTTTATCATTTGTTCCACACATTCTTTAACATTTGTTTTGACTGAAAGGACTCTAAAATCATCTGTCTTTTTGAATATCAGTTTCCTCAGCCCAGCCACCTGCTCCTTCGCTCTTGCCTGACCGGGACCTTGATATGAACAGCTGGAGCTGTTCTCAGCACCAGAAACTGTGGATGAGGACAGAACTACAGGATCTCGGACTGTGGCCTGGCTCTCATCCCGTTCGCATTGTTGGGAATGCAGTTTCACTCTGGCGTCTTCCTCCACAACCAGAGCTAATAGACACAGTGGCCGACCTCCCATCACCCAACTTCTTTCAGCTGCACCCGTTTTTCATCTGGAAGCAACATCATGATCAGACTGAGGAACAATTACATCCTGCCCTGTCTTCATGGGTGTCATCATCCTCAGGTGGTCTCTGCTGGCGTGGGTAGGCCTCGGGTGATTGTTGGCACCGGTGGACGGTATTACATCTTTTCCTCCAGACTTTGTTGCAAGTCTTGTCGGAGAAACTGGTTTGCAGACAGTCCCCGGTGGCTGCAAAAAGCTGCCCAGCCACTTCACAAACATTCTGCCTGCATTCCTGACATATAAGAAGACCATCTGCAAGTCTGTAATGGATGAGCTGAGGCGCACGGGCAAATCACCATCAGACATGGCAAACCAGGGGAATGAACTCATGCATCTCAAATTTGAGTGAGCTCACCTGGCATACCTGCAGGCAATCGAGAGCGTTTGGGATGCTGAGGCTGGGGTTCATGGACAGAAGACCATTGGGCAGTTTGTGAGAAAGGAAAATGCACCACGTCCTTTTGGCTCATATGAAGATGTCAGTGGGTGGTGTGGAATTTCTGTTTCCAGCTTCTACCTCACTGACTGTCTGCTGGAAGAGTACAGACGCCAAGAGCCATCCATGTCCAGGCTCCTTCAAGGATCTTTTGGGCAGATCTTCAGGTCTGACCACACCAGAAAAGTTGCACGCAAAGTGACACTTGCATCAGGGACAATGTCTAGCTTTGCAATCATGAACGAAAACTGGTTGATTTGATTGTTTCCTGGGTGATGGTTCAGTCTTAGGCTGAGAGGTCCTTGCAGCCGATGTACGAGGGAGTGGCCAGGAGGTACGCTGAAGCTGAAGTGGAGAAGGCAGGCTACCACTGGGTGGACAGGTGAGAGCAGACATTTTCTCTCTTCTTTACCTTTCAGTCTGTTAATGATCATGATTGTGTGTTTGATTATGTCTGTTTTAATGTGCAACCTTAGTGATTAGGAGAAAAAACAAATGGTTGACTAACGAAAACACAATTCTTTAATTTTATTTAAAAAAAATACTTTTCTAATAAATTAGAAAATGTTGGAAGAAATTCATGAAACTGTTAGAATACACAGTGATGCAAAAGGAAAAGCATTAGGAAGAAGTGTTTATTGCTTATCGAGATCATGACCAGCTGTTTGATGACATCATCCTAACAGAACCAGGAAACCTGGTGCTCAGAGACCAAACACAGCAGTCAAAAACATAAGAATGATTCTAATTATTCTGCATCTTTGTGTATCTTCTGATCAGGGATTGCTGTGCTTCTTTCAAGATCCCAGACTCCATCCCTGGTGAACATTTACTCTGGGATGCTTGGAAGACAACCCCTGCCATTGTGAATGCTGCTACCTCTGGACCACTGGCTAATACTAGTGCCTCTCGATCACATTACAACCCCAACATTGCTATAAAACTGGACTTGTTTCACTGCCTCAGGCGCTTTTCACGGGAGTGCACGTCTGAGCATCACCCCCTCTACAGCAGTTTCTGCCAGCTTCTCTCTGCTGCCTTCTCTGTGGTTGATCAGGAGGACCTCAAGAAGCTCAGGGACGCCTACGAATTCTGTGGTATCCGGCCAGCCAATCCCACCAAACAACACATACGGGAGCACTGCAGGACCAAGATACCACAGCCCACAGAGCTCCTGGACAGAGTGGAAAAGGTGATCAACCATTTTCATCTGGCCAAGGATCCAAATGATGTCCCTCTGTTTAAACCCTCCATGCTGAAGACGTGGCGCATACAGCGAGTGCATATTCTCCATGGATGCCTCAGTGACCCTGAAATCTCCGAGAGGATCATGTACAGGTATGGTGGCACTCTTCAGCTTAACCATGTACCTGGAGAAGGAGCAAAGGTCAACATCTGGATTCCTGTCAGAGGTACATCACAACAAGAGGGGTACCATTTCCACCAGGCCCAGTGGATCACCGGAACCCATGCCTCCACTGAACTGTTTCAGGCGCAGGCAATGACAGGAGTGGCAAGATGGAACTACCAACGACTGGTGGACCTTAAGCGACCAGACATTGTCCTGCCAGCTGTATCTGATCCCGCTTTAATAGCTGAATTAAACAGCTCTTACAAGAGAGTGACTGGACAGGAGAAATATCCCACTCTCAGAGTCTCTGACAGGGAACCAGCGAAAGATTTGGACTTGAGTACATAGAGCCAGGCTGCCGACCGGTCCCTCTTGACTGGGACAAACACAGGACTCAGAAGAGAGGTGAATCATCTGCTCCATTCCTGCTTCCTGTGCATTCATCCATCCCGGCTCAAGTTCCAACTCCAGCGTCAACCTCCAACTTGGGTTCAGCTCCATCTGTCAGCCCTCTACTCTCTGCTGGTGACCTCCTGAAAGAAGATGTCCAGGAATTTCTAGCCACACCAGGTAAGCCACTGAAATGTTTTCTACATATTTGCATTTTATTGTGGACAGTTCACCAATCAGCCGAGTAAGCATGACCGTTTCATTGTGTTTCAGATCTTTCGTGTGCTCCACCTCTGCCTCTGAGAGCCTACCCAAGTAGCGCCCACGTCGGACCCATAAAAACAGGTGGACGGGTCTTTGTGTTGGATCACACATGCTGGACACTGCCCATGAAAGAGGCCATTGATGACCTGCTGCAGAAGCACCGTGGGGACAAGGAGATGCTGAAGCTTGTGGATCAAGAATACGCAGCCATTTTTCATCGAGCTGCTGCTGATCCAAACAGCCTTCTGCATCCTACCACCAGACTGCACATCTCCCGCTACGTGAAGCACCTGGCGAAACTGCTCAACACCAGTTCTTCTTTGAACATAAGCTCAGAGAAACTGAGGGATACACAACAACTGTGGCACTCTTTAACAGAGGGGAGTGAGTCATCCCATGTTCCTGTGGTCCCTATTGAGCCAGCTACTTTCAACCCTCCTGCACCTGCTTTGTCCTCACCTCTGACTCAACACTCTCTGGAAAAAATCGTAGAGGGCATTTTGAGCAAACAGCAGCAGCAGCTCCCGCCAGGGCAAAAGAAAAGAGACAAAGACCTGTCTTTCCTGCGGACAGCCAAAGTCTCGATATGAAACTGATGGATCCTCGATCCACTTTTTCTATCAACAGGGGCCTGTGCGGTATTTTTACTGCTCACAAAAGGTGCACCAGAGCTATGCTGCTGAAGGACTCTCTAACCCTAAAATGTCCTTTGAAGATTTTTCAGCCACTGACTTTTTTCAGAGAGAACTGGACACAACCAAGACGCGAGTGCAGGAGAAGACCGAAAAGAAAAGGCAAAGGACAGAATTGGCACCAGCAGGCCGTCTCTGTAGGTTCTGTCACATGGAGCTGAAACAGGGACCCAACAGCCCACACATCCACACAGGATTCCCCGGAGTGGCAGGAAAATATATTTACTGTCCCTCCAAGTTGTTCGCTCTTTACCAAAGCCAGGGAATGGTCAAAGAGATGAGCTGGAAGGAGTTTAGCAAGTCTCCTTTCTACGAGGCGGAAAAACAAAGATGGGTGGAGGAAAAGAACAAATGAACAACTTGGGTTTATTTAGTTCATTAGTGTATTTATGTAAATAGAAAATGTTGTAAATCCTCAGAGGATTGTTTCATTGTTTTTTTTTTATCCTCTCTAGGTTACTGATCAGATGTAAATTTGCAAGTGTAAGTTTAACATCTGTACTTATGTTTATTTTGGTTTGTCACAGGAACATTGGGACTAGTTTGTTTCTTTGTATATAATGTATATTGTGTTTCTGTTAAAATACCGTCTGGTTCATGTTAAATAAAAAAAAACAAATTGTTCTATCATTAATTGCACCAAAATGTTATTTAAATTGTTGCTTACAGCAGCTACTTGTACATATCAACATCTGCTGGCTCAGTTTGTCTGGAGCAACACATAAACAAACCTTGCAGTTGTGAAAGGAACAAAATAATCACTGTGACTGCTGCATTTGAAAAGCTTTGGCAATAAAATATTTTTGTGAGAACATTTTCTGTTGTCATAAATATGAACAAATCAAATTCAAAGTTTAATAGCTTCAAGCAGAAGAACAACAAATGTGATGGTTCATATGTGATTACATTTTACTTTACTTGGTAGTATTTAATATACAGTATAGAGGTATAAGTCACACTAAAATAATTACTAGTAAAATGATTAATGAAATGGGATTTGAAAATCATTTACAAAACACTTTCACTTATTTATCACAATGTTTGAACAACAGCTTTTATTTTTGTGCTGTTTGAACAGATCAGGAAGGAAGATAAGTGATGGGTTAGATGTGGATCAGCATCCTGCAGGAATGAATGCTGCATTTTCATTGGCTGTCACTCTGTCACAGCTATTCATGGTTGGCCCCCGCGAGCTCACCCCGTAAAATTTCGCACTTTCATGTAGAAGGGAATGAATGAGATGCGGCGCGGCGGCATTTTCAGTATCTGTAACATTTATATCCTTAAAGACAGCTGAAACAACGCGCAAACAACGGTTTGAAGGTCTATGCCTGAGCGTGAACGCGCATGAAGCAGCCTGCTTGACCCGAGCAGCTCTCTTTTTCTGTGATTTTACAGAAAAACAGGCAATCACAGTAAAAATGCCAGGGCTCATTCTACAGGACCAGGGCATTGCAGGAGAATGTATTAAGAAGAAATTTATTATTTTTTTTACATGTTTTGGCTGTCAAACTTCCACAATGCCCCTTTAACCCTTTTTTCTAGTAAAGTAAAATGCCTGTCAACATTCTCCCTTCTATCCCGTGCCCTCTGCTGCTCTGCCTCCCTCTGCAGCCTCATGTCCTCCCTGATCAGTTCCAGAAGAGCAAGTCACTCCAAATCAACAATTTTTTTTTGCTGATAAACTATATAAATGAGTGTCTGATTATGCTGTAGACAAATGTCAGTGACTTGATGCAATTTGCTGGGTTCCTTATATAGGAAACATTATTTCTGATTGGCTTAATGAACTGACCTGAATTGGAATGTTTATTATGTGAAGTGCCTTGAGACGATTCTTGTCGTGATTTGGCGCTATATAAATAAACTTGAATTGAATTGAATGTAGTCATTAACTCAGCACTTTAGTGCATCTTAGTTCAAATTTAAATATTCTGCCTAAAACTGTCAGCGATTCACCGTCGTCAGGCAAAAACTCAGTCGGTCCGCTAAGCAACAGCATTTGTTGCATTTTTCAAATGGCAGTTGAGTAAGAATCTGGTAGGGTTGACTTGCTGTTTAAAGTTCATTGATTGAGTTTAGAGTATTCAGCCAAGCGAAATATCATCACATCCAAGTAAACAACTGGAATGAAGAGGTGGTTGACTGGTAATTATTTATTAATTGATTGATTTATTGATTTATTTACATCCCGTGTTTAATCAGCTAGTGAACGGCTCAGAGAAAGATGTGCAATGTTGGGCTAAATTAGTAAGTAAAGCCAAAGCTCTTTGACATTATTAATATATTTAATAGTTGTACTTCAAAAAGAGGAGCTCACATATTAGTTTTTCTCTTTGCATTTTCTGAGTTTATATTTGTGAGGGCTACGTTACATTGTTTAGAAAGGGATCTAACAGAAATACCTGAAAAAAATATATAACTGTAGCATACCCCCCCCCCCCCCCCCCCTGAATGAAGGATGACACTTTACTGTTGAAGTTTTGGATTTAATGACGATGACCCTCAATTTCACCGTAAGAGCTTGTGCCTCTATCAAGGGGGCTGCTAATAGCAAAATCCATGTTAGATCTCCGTCAAAGCTGCTTTGGCCGTTTTATCGCTGCTAGCTTGCATTAACTGTTAGAACAGGAAATAGACCCTTCAAAATAAAAGCATTTCATTCGAACAGGAAGTTGATAAAACGGATTATAAATAAAGGCAAGTTGTGCCAAATTAAAATACAAGCAAAAGAAGATGTCATTTTGGGGTTAGTTACAATAACAATAAGAATTATCAGTTTCAACGTTGAATATCACTCTGTTCGCTGTGGGTAAGATGTCCTGTCATGGAAAACCTCTGCTGTTAGAAATATTCATGTTGTATTTTGTGCTGATTTTCCCTCTGGGAAATCAATTTCCCTCTGGGATTAATAAAGTATTTTTGAATTGAATTGAACTGAATTTGAATTAAGTTAACCAGAGTGTTTGCATTTATTTTAGCAATGGAGGAAAAAAAGTCTTCATGTTCCACCAGTAGGCAACCCCTAAACATTTACCAGAACTTTCTTGGACGGGGCACCTATGGATGTGTGTACAAACGTTTTGACCAAGCAGCAAACTGCTTTCGTGCCATCAAGAAATTCACGAGTGAGAAGGCATTTAAAAAGGAGGTGAGGACATGATCTTTGTGTTTCATAAACATTTACAGTCAAACTGCAACTCATGTCAACCTTTTTGTGCCTTTTTAGTTAAAAATGCTGACATATCTAATGGAGAACAATCTGCATGAGCAGAACATCATCAGGCTTTTTCATTCAGACCTGAAACATTTGAGTCTGGCATTGGAGCTGTGCAGCATCAGTCTCGCAGATTATATCAAACAACTTGAAACACCAATGCCTCTACAGGACATCAGAATAGTCATCCAGCAAGTATGGCACCTTCAGAGGAAACAAGATTCCACACATTAACAGATTTTTAATTTCCAGATTTTCTATTTTTGACCATTGTTTGCAGCTGGCGACTGCCTTTGATGCATTGAAGAAGGTTGGAGTTATCCACACTGATGTGAAAACGAACAACATCATGTTGGTGGATCAAATGATAAAGCCTCTGCAGGTCAAGCTGATTGACTTTGGCTTGTCTGTCTTCACAAAGGATGCCAAGTTCATCAGAGTCAATCAGGTTCTTCGTTACAAGTAAGATTTATGTTAACTCTGATGGTTTTGTTTTTTAAGCAAGCACATACAAAGCACGGCCCCCACACTCCAAAAAGAGATGTGTCAAAAATCAACACAGGTGGATGTGTTAACAGCATTTTGACACATGTTGTGTAGATTTTAGCACACATTGTGTAACTCTCCTATCAACTGACTGACACATTAAAAGTGTTATCTTCCGTGCTTGAAGTTGTGGCAGGAGATTTCACAAATACAACCTGCTGAAACCCAAATTTGTATTAGTATTTTTGTATTTGTTTTATTCATATTATTTATATTAGTTAAACCTCACTGACATGTATACAAATTAGCAAGATAAAATAGAAATTAAATAAGTCTTTACAAATGTAATTAAAAACAAAAGGTAATTTTTACAAATGTCTGGTGAAATCAAACAGAAAAGCTATGCATAGTAAAAAAAAAATCTGCAAAAAATTACGAAGGTACGATGATACATCTAAACATTTTCAAAGTTTAACGGCAGCTTTTTGTCATCCAATCATTAGGCTTCTTAAAAAAAACTACTTCCGCCCGCCTGCCAGTTTCAGTCGGTTTGTGTTACTTCAGTCCGCTCATTTCTCCGGACTCTTGGAGGGGATTACAATGGAGGATTCTGATCCGCCTGTAAGTAACATTGTTTGAATGTTGTTTATTAAATATATATATATATATATATATATATATATATATATATATATATATATATATAATATTCTAGGTGGCTACGCAGCGTTTATTGACTTGTGCGGTTAGGCAGTACTTGGCGCCACTTAGCATAAGCTAACTAGCTTAACCAGTTTACTTTACTCAGGCTTTCGCTTGCTAGGTTAGATAGTCAAACATTTTCAAAATATATTTACATGTGTTGTTAACGGCAGTGTCCCCAAAGCTGGACGTACACTACGATTTGCTGACCGTTTTGAGCCAATCTCCCTCTTCCACAATTTTTTGGGGGTAAGTTCTGCCTGGTGTAGTGTAGGGGTAAGGAGAGGCGGTTAACACCTCACAACCAGCTCTCGACCAGCCAATCTGCAGTCACACGAATATTAAAAGTGCTTCATATTTTGTTTGTCTCTTGAGGGTATCGCACTGTTGAAGCAACGCTGTGACCCAAAAGTACCAGAACCGCTCACATAGCGCATGCGTCATGTGAACAGGCTTCGCTAAAACTCTACTACAACACCACTGGTTCCGGGTTTTCAAACTTAAGGGTTTGACATGATGTGTAAAAACTGCTATTTTAGCATGTTTTCATGTCTGTGTTGCGTCCACGCAGTGTGAACAGTCAGGTCACATCCGAACATTGCGTGCTATAGTGTGAGAACATGACTTGTACAGTTTGAGAAGTTAAATGGTACGAGTAAAACCGTAGCACAGCGAATGAATGCCTTGGAAAACGTTAGTTGTTAAACAAAAGTTGCTAAACATTAAACCTTCTGAAGGGGAATGTGATCAAACTAAAAGAAATCGTGATATAACTAAATAAGTTCGATCCTTACGCACTGTGTTTTTGAAACAAAATACCGTAAAGCGCATATTAATATAATTAATTATAAAAAGAAATCTATTTCAAAATAAAATTGTGTACCATATTGATATATTGATTTGACAAGGCCAGTGGTGCTTTTACTTTGAAGGATGATACGGTCGCTATCCGGATGCGTTGCTATTCCTGCTAGCTATCTACCGATCGAAACGACGGCTGTGTCTCAATTCAGGGTCTGCATCCTTCGAAGGACCCAGCCCACCCGGCCGACGTGGGCTGCGTCCTCCGTCGGCCGGGTAGACCGGATGTTAACGGCTGTGAATTTGGACAGGCCTAGCCTTCATGAACTCCCTCGGCGAACGTTCCGTCGCCTAGCAACCGTGGAACCGCTGGGCAGAAGGGAGAAGGAACTTTAAACGATGGAGCTCGACGTTTTATTTAGCTTTTTAACCCCCAGAAACCCAAATTTAGAAAACAACTGCAAAATATTTTTTTAACCTTTCACATGTTCTAGGAGGCCAGATAAACGGGCCTATTTACACATTTTAACAGCCAATAGTGTTGCAGAACTGAACAATAGGACCTATTAGCAATGTAAATGTGGTTTTAAAAAGAAAAAAAAATGGGGAAGGTTTATTCTTGTAGACTTAAATCTGATGTTGTAATATTACAACCGTGGGTCTCTGGGGGTTAATCATTTCCTTGACTGTTGGAGAGCTAATTCAGAGAAAATACTTTAGACTAGCTGAGCCTGAGCAAAGATGTGATAATAGTTTTTAATACTTTCTAAGGGTCTTAATTTGACCAAAACCGATTTATCACCTTTTAAGACTTTTCAAGACCCAGCGGATACCTTCTAGTAAACAATTCTCATTTGTAAACAAAAATAAAATTCAAGAGTTTAATGCAGAACTGATTTTATTTAGATATTTCTTTTACATGTACATGTTTAATCTTCCTTAACCATTTTTTTCTAGCAAAGTAAAAAGCTGTCAAAGTTCTTCCTTCTCTCCTGGGCTCCTGCTGCTCTGCCTCCCTCTGCAGCCTCATGTCCTCCCAGATCAGCTCCAGAAGCTCATCGCTGGCACCTTCCCCTGGATGCCCATTTTCTCCAGAATAGTCTTAACAAACATGTAAGAAAAGAAACAGGAAGAGAAAAGAGGACAACGGGTTATTCCTTTCATGTTTTCGCAGAAAAAAAATAAACTCAAACGAGTTTTTAAAATATGAGATGTTATTGTACCTCCATGCCACAGCCGCCGAATACTTTGCTCCGGTGATCATGTGGTCCATCTCCGTCCTAAGCTTAATAAATTCCCTGGTTTTCTCTTTTGTTCCTAAAATACAAACTTCTATTAAAATCAGGGGGAAACGTAGCGGGAGAAGTACGACACCGAGCGCGGCCGAACATACGAGCCGAGACCGCAATACAAGCACTTTTACTGTAACATTTCTAACTAAAATAACGTTCATGTATCACAAAAAGTCCTTAAACTGACAGTTTTCAAGTTTATACTTACATGTATATGCGCAATCCTCTCCGACAGCTCCCGCTTCACTGTCCGCCATTGTTTTTAAGTTTTTCTGCCGGCCGGCCCGCAAGGCATCTTGGGAAATGCTACCTATTGAAGGATACACCCGACCCATCCTTCATTCAGGCGAAAAGAAGGCCGCATTCGTCGACCGCATTTGAAGGAGTCTTCGAATTGGGACAGGCCGAGTCGCGGCGCTGTGACGTAACCGGCCGACGAATCCGGCCGAGGTAGGATGCAGACCCTGAATTGAGACACAGCCGACTTGTTTAAAACTTTATATAGCGGCCAGCGAGAATTAACTGTAACGGATCACACGCTCCATCAGACGTTTTTTTGTCTTTTTTAGCTAACGTAAACCGTTTGTATTTGATAAATGAACTAACTTGTTTTTTACGCTTTTCAAACTCCCAGGTCCAAGGCATTTGTTGCCACTGACTACGAGGACACGGAAGCGAACATACATAGTTCTTTGAAAATATTAATTTAGTAAAACTACTACACTAACCCGCCCTGTAACTTGTGTTATTATTAACTTATGTTTATACTGAGTGATACTTTGTTACATGCACAGGTAGCTCCAGTTTGATCACCAAATAAAAATGTCAGTAACTTGTTCAAATGCAGAGGAAAATATGTGAATATCGTTTTTAAAAGGGTAGAAAATGTCATGAGTATAAACCAGTTAATCAAAATGTGTTAAGTTAAAGTAAAACAACATTAGAAGCAAATACAAAAACATTTAAAGCAATGTAAAATATAAATAAAATAGTTGTAAAAAATTAGTCATGTAATGTTGAACTGCATGTTGCTGTAGTTTTTCAACTCCGCTTGAGGCAAACATTATAAACTTGAGTCATTGTATTGCCATTGTTTTGTTGAATAAGCCGTGTTTGGAGATACTACTCATAAAAATATGTGGCCAACCATTTTATATTAAATGAGGAAAACCGTCCTAATTATATTTCGTCTGATAAGATCTAATTTGATATTTACTTTAATAATAATATTACAAAATAAAAGTAAATAACTTTTTTTTCTGCAGAACCCAGACCTACAACCTGGATCAATCAGAGTGCTTGCTACCATCTTCAAAAATGGAAACGAGTCATCAAGGAAGATTTATACTGTTCACACTACAGAACAGCTAATAACCCACATCATGTCTGAGCAACCAGGTTTTGCATTTGACAGAGTTCTGAAACATCATGCTGACTTCCAAGAGTTTGTTGATGTGGACAGAACAACAGACATCAGGAATTTTGACAAATTCCAGGTCTTTCTATCAAGTGTCGAAGCATTACCCCAAACAACTGCTGAAGAGCTCCATCAAATCCAGGTATAAGATTTTCATTTTATTTGTGTTATATTATTTTCTGGGCTGTAGCACTGGAAAAAAAGAAGTGTCACATACACTTGGTAACAGTGAAATTAAATGGCAAGCGATTTTAAATTCCAGTGATGGCCTTCTGCCAGACTGTTTCTTTTTTAGAATTAGGAGGGTTGTGTCACATTCAGACAGACTGTCGGATTTCAGTCACTCTGAATTAGAATCGATCAGAAAAAGTGGGGGAGGATTCCTCCTGTTCACAATCTTTGCTCTAGTGTGTTGGTCTAATGTCGTCAATTGACCGATCACAATCGAAGAGACGGCATGCTGCAGACGACGAGGCAGAGCGGCGTTCGCAGTGATCAAGTGCTGTTGCTTTAACATCTCGCTGCAGTTTTGAGCTTAAAGTTTGTAAAATCAAACAAAGTCACCACAAAACAACAGTTTTCTGTTAAGGACTTTAGCAGATTTGCCTTCATAGATTTTCCCAAGGTGTTTTTTTTTACGGGCGATACATTTTTTTTTATCTAAAGTGGGTTTATCTTATATCAGAGCTGCTCTCATATGAGCATGTCTTCATCTGCTCTCATGCCACCCCTTCCCAATTTCTCAGGCTGAACAATAATATTTAATCTTTAATAGCACTATAGCCCTCACACTCCCTTACATCACCACTGAACAAGACTACATGTTTCTGCTGCAGGTTGTGGGGGTTCAGCTCAATATAAAAATTTACACTTTGGATTTATTTGTGTATGTTACAAATATTTGCAATAATCAAGCAGTCCTAACTAATGTTTATAATAAATCTAATTTCTTCTCATATCCCCTTTGCTGCCTTCAATCTAGCATCTTCCTGTGGTAAACGAACTGGGAAGTCTGCAGATACTATTACAAAGAAAAGCACCAAAAATACTTGAGGAACACAAAAAAACAGGGAGCCTTAAAACTGAGACAAGGAAGCTCCTTGTCAAAGTTTGCATCAGTCACTTGGTGGAGAAGCATGGATTGTAAGTACATACTTTCATACATACTACATATATAGAGTGGAAGTGTATACATAGATATGCATTTTTATTTCAGTCATTCAATTCACTAATTTAGATTTTGATTTCTGTTCTTCCATTCAACCCCTTAAGTTACCCAACAAGTGCTGAGAAGGTGACTTTAGCCAAGACAATCATCGCCACTTTCCCATCCTTGAGAGTTCAGATTGAAGGAAAAGGAGAGGGATTTGTAAGTAGAATTTGCCTAAATCCAAAAAGTGTCTTCATTATTAGGGCTGGACGATATAGAAAAAAGCATATAGATAAAAAAAAATCAGGTCATTATCAATAATTATTGAAAAATATTGATAAAAAATGTTGAAAATATCTCAAGTGCAGCCCTTCCCATTTTATGCTATTCACTAGCATTACCCAGCAGCGGCAGACAGCTGTGCTGCAGATCATGTGTAAAAATGACAACACTGGTGTGGTGTGTAGCTCTGAAGCTTTGTCCAAACACTTTTTTTTTTTTTTCATTTATATTTTATTGAACATTCAGCAGTCATGTTACATGAGAACCTCTTTTCCAAATACATCCCCAAGTTTCTGCTTGAATAAGTATTTTCTGTGATTCGGTATTTAAAACGGGAAAGAAAAAAATCTAAATATATAGGAAATGGGGGAACTTGGTCTTTAAGCTTTTATTATTGTCAGTAATCCAAACTAATGTTTTGCTGTTGGATTTTTTTCATTCTTTTCCAACACAGGAGCATTTTTATGATCCATTATCACATTCTGGATTCCTGGAAATGAGACTGCGTAATATCCGTCGAAAGCTTGAAGCGGGTCAGCGTCGTTACTCAAAGCGCAAGATAAGCTGTGATACTGGAATGGAATCAGAACAGGACCAGGGGGAGAGCAGTGCAACCAATGAGTGGATCACCCTCATGAAACGACTCAGGCCCTCTTCAGAGAACATCTCTTCAATTAAATCTGCTATGGAAAACACGTACACAAGGCGTAGGTCATGGATATCAAAAAAGAATCCCACAATGGCTGAAATTTTGGAAGAATATCCACGCTTTCTGGACATGCCTAATCTGGTAGGCCTCATCATTTTCCTTCTTTAGTTAAAGCAAATGCCTGATGTCATTAATAACTGTTGATGTATAGTTTAAAACAACTTCTCTTTTTATTTAAGCTGGATATTGAGTTCGGAAGAATGACTGATGGCAAGACGGAGCTGTTTATCAGACGATGGGAAGTCAGCATAATTCCAAAACTGAAATCTTTGGCTACCATGGAAGGAGGGGATGTTTCATTGCTAACAGAGGGGATGGAAGACCAAACTGATGGTATGTGTTTTCTCCTTTGAAAGTGTCTGCTGTGTAACACTTATTAATGTATTAATCCTGAATATCTGCTGGTGTGTACAAAATTATCTTGTACAGCCCTTTCAAAATTCTGTCTGTTTTTAAGAGCTATTCCATTCAGAAACTGTTTTATTGGTCACCAAGTTTCATTTGCAGGCAGAATGTGAAAATAGTCTTAACTCTTCTTTCCTGCATTAGCTGCAAATAGAAAATCTAATGGTCCATCCATCTGTCTAAATATGTCCATCCTTACATCTGTCCAAACAGACATGCCAGTCCATTTTTCTGTCCAAACATGCATCTGTCTGTTCATCCATCTTTCCCACACTGCGTTGACCTGACTACAGATATACATCCAAAGTGCTAACTTGCTAAAAGCACTTGTCATCTTTAATATACATCCAAATGCGTCCATCACTTTGTCCATTTTTCCATCTTTTTAACAACGCATCTACCTGTCCATCTACCTGTCCAACCAGATGCTTACTAGGGTTGGGCATCGTTTGATTTTAAATGATTCTGATTCAAATTCCTCATTTTGATTGCAGTTCCTATCGATTCCCGATTCCATCAAGACATGACATGTTTTACATGAGCTAGCTAACCACAGGTCCTACTTGATGAAATAATCTTAACTTCAACATGAATTTTAATTCTATGTAAAATACCATCACCTTCATTTTGACAAAACAATGTTTTGGAGAGAAAAAAAAGAAAAAGACTTGCAGCACAACCAGTGTTGGCAATCTTTTGATTTTGAATATCATCTTAATTTGTCCTTTCAATAAAATATAATAATTACACAATAAATTAGAAAGTTTTAAAATGCCAGAGAAAAACTTATTTTTCTGAGAAACTTCTCAAAATAACGTGTGGAACCCTTCCTCCTCCAATCTGCAATCTCCAGTGTCTGGTGCCTTCTGGTTTAAACCAGCCAATCAGCAAGCAGGTCATTAGCATATTAATTTCCTGGCCAAGTGGGAGGGTTAAATTGCTCTTTTCAGAGCAAGGCTGATTTAGGGGGTTAGAATGGCCTGTATCAATTTCTGAATGGTGAAAACTCCAGAAAGTTACTTTAAGAGTTGTGCCTAATTTTAAATTTGCCTAATTTAAAATTTTTAAATATATTTGTGTGCCTGTTCTATTTTTTCCCCAGATGAAAAGTGCTACACAATGCTGGTTGTTCTCACACATCTTCTGCCACCATTGCCTGGGAGTCGATGCAGCATTAAGTCTGCAATATCGTTCCTGGTTGATTTTGTACCGGTATGTATTCAATTCAATTAAAGTTTGTTTATATAGCACCAAATTACGACAAGAGTCATCTCAAGACACTTAACATGGTAAACATTCCAACACAGGTCAGTTCATTAAGTCGATCAGAAAAAAGTAACCTATATAAGGAACCCAGCCATGGGTTGCTGCCTGGTGGCTGCATTGCCCCTGAGTAGGTCTGGGTGGGTGCCTGGGGGCTCGGGGTGTGGGGGCGGCGGGTCCCTTGTGGGGATCTGGGCGGGGACTTGGGGATGGGGTCCTGACTTGTAAGCTGCCGGGAAGAAGACAGGA